TTGAAGTCACCTTTAAAGAGGGCGAAAACATGTTACCTTCTATTGGCTGGTAACCGACTGATTCCGATATTATTTAATCTCCTAATTGATAGAATATGGAAACTGGAGAGGTCTTTGAAGCAGATAAAATAATAATTAGGAAATCAGTTAAATCTCTTCCGATAGAATATCAATTTGACCCTTGTTGGATATCTTGATCTAATTAGTGCACGAATTCCCTCCGATTGTAGTGGAATTCGATTAGGTTAGTAGTAGCGAAGAAAATAAGGTCGTTTTTTTCAATTGCGGGAATCAAATGAAATTGACAAAAATGTTCAAAAGAGGCTGAAAGCAACTTAGATAATGGAAGGCTTTATTGTAGATACTTTCGGGAATTGGGTTTGCTTCTAGTTCTCAACTTCGGAGTTCGTGTCTATCATATGGAAGGCTTATTTGGCGGTTTTAAGTAAGATGGTCCGTCTACCTACTTCAATTCTCCTTTCGTTCTAATGGTTGCGAAGGTAGAATATTCTTACACGAATGTACGCGAATATTTATTTATTTATTTACATCGAATGGCAGGCTTAATGATAGCTATCATTAGCTCTTTAGCTGACTTCGGGCTTCATGGACTGGAGGAGGAACATCAAAGTGAAACAAATTCGAGGGGGGGGGGAACATAAGAGTGATTCACAGATGTAAAAAAGATAGTCAGAAACAAAGGCAGAAAAAAGGTAAGATGAGTACTGTGAAAGTGGTTGAATATGACATACAGTGGGGTCATGGTAGATCGAAGTCAGAAATCAACTGCCAGTTTATAAACTTTTTTTCCGTATGAGTGTACGTTGCCCAGGATGTACCACTTGGAGGTAAGTCTGTCGCACACCCTATATGCACTAATATACAAATTCCAAATTGCAATTAAAGAGATCCCAAAAAGGTATGGAATACCACAGTATTCAAAAGGAGATTACTCTGGTTGAATAAATGGGAAAAAATCGAAGTTTCACTCTATCAAACTTAGTGACATTCTCTTATGAAAAAGTTAAGTCCATCTTCACAAAGATCATTATTATGAGTTTACTCCAACTTCTCTTAAGCTTTTAAATATACATATAGCTTATAAGTAAAAATAGTTGCAAATAAACGTGATGAAATGAGTCATTCGACAAAATGAGTCATTCAAACTGATTTTAGTTCAATTTCTAGCTATCGGTATTTGCTTCAGTTGCCTTTAATTACGTTAAAATTCGCGACAAAAAGTGAGAGAGGCCTTTGCGTCTAAAGGAATGAACTTAAAATCTACTTCACATAATAACAATACCCCCACCAAATGTTGAACCAAACGTTCATACCCCCCACCCCTCCCCTCAACAAAGTACATTCTGTTTTCAACGTTGTTGCGCAAAAAAAGAACTATTATATCTGTACTGTATTAAACTGGTTGGCGAAAAGGCCATATTTTGAAGATTTTATGACTGCATTTTAGTACATTTTACTCCTTGAAATACCCTTTTTCACTAGTGTCTTTGTGAGTATTTGATTGGTGGACTATTCATAGCAAAGGTTTTAAGTCATCTACACTTTTTTAAGCTTTCATTTCTAAATGCACTTCATAAAAGCTAGCATTGATCAAATTCAAGAGGTTCAATGATGGCGCCACCCTTTTATTTAGCATTATGAAACCCATAGATTTTCCCTTATCAAGTAGCTTCACATTCAAAAAAACGTGTAAATTGCGTAACACGTCAAGGATGTGTGCGTGAGAGAGAGAGTGTGTGTGGAAATGGAGGCTAATTCTTATTAAATTTGGCCATTAAAATACTGGGTTGGATCTGTGAAATGATAACTTGGCGATAACTTTGCCGATGCAAACGCTGTCTATAATCCCACCCCCCCCCTAACCCCCCCC